GTACAGAAAAACCTGCAGTGCTGCGCCGGACGAGTCTTTGGTGGGCGAGTGATCCTGCCTGCCTTGATCGATGCTTAGTTTCGCAAGTTCTTCTGTTCCTTGCCACCCCTTGTTCGCAACAATATTATGTTCCCGTACAAAGGACGTACATAGATGGTGCCGTCAGGTCCTCTGAATGAAGCAGTCTGCTGTGTCTGTAATGTAGCCATGGCCACTTGCAGAACTTTATTCAGGGGAGCAACCCCTTTTTTTCATACTGGCCCTACCCTGGAACTGTGGGGCACAGGGCTGAGTCCTAATAACCCACAGAAACCCAATCCCAAGGAGAGGTGGCTGTACTCCCCTCTGGACATCCGTGAGGGTAGTTATACTGAGCAGAAAGAAGGCACCCCACAACCTAGACCAAGAGTGGCCAGAGTGACATGGGGTTAGAGCCGCAGACAAAACAAAAAAAGTTCAGAAAGCCGCAGGAAAAAAAAAAAAAGATGGGGTGTAGGGCTACTTTTAACAAGGAGCGACATAGAGGGAACAGTCATTTCCAAAGGGGACAAGTACAATAGTCAACTACAACAAATAACACCAAGTTACAGAATGTTCCTTCAAAAGCAAAAATTAATGCATGGTTTGCTCGCTAGCCATCCACTGTCCCCACTCCCCAATGCCCGTTATGCTTATTCGGTTCAATATTATTTCTAGAGCAACAAAGGAAACAGGGTCAATGAACACATCTGTGTGAGATAAAGCAGTCCAGCTGTATGTACAAGACTGCTAAGACTGTGAGCATTTTTTTTTAAATTCTAGAACTATTTTTATTTTCATCTTGGGGACACGGGACGGGAAGGGAGCACGTTTACTAGGGAGCCACTAGCCGCACTTGGACGTGTGAAGAGTCGCATGCGGCTCGCAATCAGCAGTTTAGCCACCCCTGAACTAGACCATTCAAGGCTGCAGAGGAGCAGTCATGTCACCGGCGTCCTATGGAAAGTTTGGCCAGTCAGCTGCCTTTCTGGAAGGGAATAGCAATGCAAATCTATGTCCCCATGGCTACTTCATCGGGGGATCCTGAAAATGTTGGCAATGGACACAGTGATTCATCCCAGCTGGCAACTATGTCCTTGTGCTACCAGGAAGCCGACCACAAATGCCTCTTTATCGGCATTGAGATAGCCCCACACATTTTTGTTTATTCAGGGTCCCATGGAAAGTCTGCTTTGCCATACCGAGTCGTGCAGTTTGTGAACCACGGCTTGGGTACCCTCGACGTGACACCAACACGGGCCTGTACATGGCTTTCATGTGATATCATTGGCCTATGCTGGTGGTCATTTCTACTTGTCCTTGAAATCAAATTTGGCAATGTGAAATGTCTGTCGCAGAAGGTACGTGCTAGTGCCACTAAATAAGCTACGCTTCAGAGTTACAACACTGACCCATCTTGTGGCTTAAAATCAGTTTCCAGTTATCTAAAGCATTATCTGAAATCATAGGAAACGCTTTTCCGTCCTTCGCAAATGTTTAAACAGTTTGTGACAGAGCAAAGCAATATTACATGAGCTTCCTAACACTGAATCTAATGCTGAGGAAGTCATACTTTTGAATCATGGTGATCGGCAGTTGCGTCTGCTCTGCACAAGCATCAAAATGGCGGCGTCCCCAACAATGTCTGGGAACAAAGTGCCGATACTCATTTAGTGGTTCTAGTGCATGCTAATCAGCAAGGCTACTAGTATAACTGCTGATGTAACGTCAATGCAAACCATGTATTAGGTTGGAAGACCTCACTCTTAAGCATGGGAGCTGGCTTCTAGCCGACGGGCCCCCAGAACCGCACGCCACATTCAAGGGCTCTTCGTCGAGAAACTTTTGAGCCTAATGTGGATAACTTTTGTCGTCTATGCTCATAGGAAGGAGGCTTCTTACCACTGAGAAATGCAGAGGCGAAGGGAAAGGATGTCAGCTCTGCCAAATAACAATTTGCGTATTGGCTGCCCAGCAAAAGTTTCCTCAGCAGGCAAGCATTTCAAGGTTGGGCATGTTCATGTAACAAAACATTATAGAAAGGTACAAGATCATACTTGCTACCTTAGCCTGCACAGAGTCAGTGAATCAACTACAAGGTTTGTTTGTGGCACTAAGAGATAAACTGATCAGCTGCTTTTAATGCAAAACACATGAAGAGGCACAGACAGAATCAACAATGGGGACATGCTGCCCATAATGCCCGTAATATTTTGGGTAGTTCTTCGTCAATACATACTCAACATACATCTGTACGCATATTGTGTCAAGTCTCTTACACACAGTGTTCAGTGAGGCTACAGGAGTGCATGGCTTCAGACACTTTCAGATTGTACGCCAAGAATCAAAAAAAGTGCTCAAGTTTGGCAGATGATGCCATTATACCAGTCGCTGTTACAATGACTGGAACCATATACAAAGCAACATCACCGTTTTCACATCATGTTTCTTTTACTTCATACCTTGGTTGCTCTGAAACCTGCTCAAAGCATCCAGAATAAATTCTCACTTAAGTCACAGAAGCTATTGGAACTTGCAAAACATGCTCGTAGTGAGGAATCTTCCGGCTATGATAATAACAAGACCCGATGTTGGTGGCAACCATTCTTAGAACCAGTTGATAATGTGCACTTTGCTGGCCCCTGGTGAGGAGTTCAAAGCCGTGCGGCCTCGTCGAGCGCTGCGTCATACACGTTCAACCAAAGTAAGCTCTTTTCTCGAAAGAGTGCGTCAAGCATCTGCATGCTACACAAATGAACACGGTGGTGCCTGGTTTACAAGGTACGACAGAAAGGTGAATGGACGACACAGACAACAGACCTACAACAGAAATCAATGTGCACATCACAATGGAAGATAAAATTTCGAAAAGAAAAAAATGAACAAATGGAATGTGAAACTTTCTCGGAAAAACTGAACTTCACGCCGAGGAAGCACACGGTAAGGTGCAGAACACCAGCTCACAAACACAACAGTGTCAACATTACAAGAATCTGAATTCTCGTCTATCAGTTCTGTTAACAGTTTTGCGGTAGGGGTTACCCCAAAACTGTCAATGACGCCTCTTTCTAGACAGCTATGTCCCTATAAAGGTGCAATAGAGGAATCGTTGGAATATTACAGATCATTAAACTGTCGCTACAACATACGAAATAGCACACTACTCCCTAACAGAAATGGAACATTGGCGACACAGCACGACACTCCGGCCAACCCGAAGGTGTTGTGTCTTCGCGTTAGCCGTATTGTGCCACACGAGAAGTGAGATGGCAACAGTCAAGTGCTAAGCTTTCTCAGCGGCGTGTACTTCATCCGCGCTTTCTTGACCGGCGGTTTGGGGTCCGCGGCCGGCGACGCCGAGTCCTCCTTCGCGTCTTCCTTGCCGCAGGTCGCGGGCGCTTCGTCCGACTTGGACTCGGTCCCGTCCTGCCTCTTGTTCTGCTTGTCCATCAGCGACGAGATTACCTCCAACTCCGACAAGGTGCGGTCCAGGAGGCCGCAGAACGTGCTCACGAACTGCGGCGAGTGGTTTTCGTTGCGGAGGCTTTCGATCGCGCTGGGCCACTGCTCGAGCGCGTACAGGGTCTTCCGGAACGAGCTGTCAGTCAACTTGGTCGCCGAAGCTTCGCCTTCGGCCATTACCATCGTGCGGGTCTTCAGAAAAGTGATGTCGTGCCCACAGCCGAGCGCGTTGACTCACCACTCGATGGATCACAGCTGTGGACTGCACGACGAACAAGCACGACGCCACTTTGGGGCCAACACCACCTTCGAGACCGCTGTGTCGAAGACAATCACATCGTTTCGCTGGCCGAGTGGAACGTCTGGACTCCCGAAAACCCCCACGGACACGCGAAAACACAGACTGCGAACCGAACAAACAGCACCTAAGCTGTCCTCCCTGCCCTCCGCCTCAACGGCCTGAACGTGATTTGAGTGGCTGGACGTACACAACTTGATACAACAAAACAACTCAATCTCTTCATTAGGGCGGTGGAGCGCGCCGCCTATTACTTTGAGCGCTACTGGCGCTACTACCTGCTGAAAAGCGTAGATTGTAGAGAGGGTCCACCTCAAACCAAGTGGTGGGTTTGCAACTTAATGGCGGACGCCTCCTGCAGAGATTCGTCGCAAGTGCGCATACGCTGAATTTTTTCGTAGCTATGAGGGAAGCAGGCGGAAAAGCGAAGACGTTTGCAGACGATCAACGTGTTCGGCACGTCATCGCAACTCGTATTGCAAATGCGGCCCATAAACCACGTGATCGCGATCGAGCAGTTTGACGCTCTCTCTTATACAGGCTCTCTACTACCTGCTAGAGATTGTCACCATCCTGGTGGTGGTACGTGGTAACCAGTTGATTGAGGGATTGAGGGTACGTTGGATTATGGCTTCAAAAAACAGTTATATGGTATGTATGATATTTTATGATTAGAGCGCAGTCAAAATAGTAGATTCAAAGAATCGGTGGAATGAGCACAGTCACTGTACTACCGATGATTGTTGGTGACTTGTTTTGTATGTCTCCAGAGCTTTCTGCGTTAAAAAATTTATTTTCTCGCGTATATTAACTTGAATGAATTGAAATTAACTGTGTCAGATTAGTTAACATAACCATTGTCGTACTGGATACGCAAAACGTAGCCCGTAAGCTGATTGAGTGAAGTCCACCCAGTGAGTCCACCAGAGGGCTTCTCACTGGCCTTGTGGTAGAAAGCCTAGAATTAAGAGGGGGAGCAGCTGGAACGATTAAGAGTATTTTTCGTTTCATATTGAATAGGCAGACTGATCGGAAGTGCGTATGTTTGTGTTGTCCTGTGGCAAGAAAAGGAATAAAAAGAGACGCTGGTAGAACGATCACCGTTTTGTCACCTCCTCGCAGCTTTTACAGCAATAGCGATTTATTAACCACGTGATGCCATCGAGCGGTTGAATACACTCCAAAATCAAGGCACACTAATCTGTGCAGGCAGCGCAGGCAGCCTTCTGCACTATCCTTCCGTGCCTTCTGCATTAGTTCTGCGAATGTTTATCGCGTCATCTACGTCTCGCATATGCCCCGCTTGTCCCTACGGTTGATAGGGCGTTGCGATCCCTCTCGCCGAACTCGTAGGTAGTATCCGATTTTGCGATGTCCTGCACGATTCGAGTCTCGTTTAGGTAGCAGTTTCATGACCCGAAAACTTTGGTGGGAAGCGAGCGGCCATCTTTAGCAGCGGGTTGTTTTCCTTCCTCGAAGAAGTGGTCTGTCGCCGGGGGCCCCGTCAGCATGGAATAACGCCGAGGTGAGTCGACAACTGACTTTGCAATCTGTGCCGAACCGTACCCGCTGACGTCACTTGCGTTCCAAGGGCGCAACGATCTAAACTAGTAAGGAGTAAACATTTCGCCAACTGTTTTCGTTTCTTTCTTTTTTCTTCCCCCGGTGTGGGGATGTTAAAACCGCGACGTCGGAAGCATTCACGTCGCTCGAGATCGGTAACCACCGGTGTTTCAAGCGTCGACCGGGCTACGGCACATTCACGGGCGTTCCTTGCGGGATGTAAACGCGCACGACTGCTGCTTGAACGCAGAGGCTCACTGTACGGCGGAAACGGGCGAAGCTTGATATGTGAGCACTTCCGAAGAGGTGTCGCGGAGAAAAGTTGCCCAACAACCGCTGAGTCATAAGCCAAGCCCACTCAAAAGCAGCTTTAAAGCGACGACCACTCACGAACGCTACGAACCGGTGATTCACCAGAGCGATCTACGCCCGGCTTGATCCGTGTCAATGCGATAAGTGATGCGAGATAAGAATCGCCGACCGTGACAGCAATCTGCACTACCTTCGATATGTCCCAGCGATCTGTCTCCCGCGAGGGACACTTCGCGTCTGATTGGCACTGCTCGGGACCAGAACTTTCTCGCGTGTTCACTGAGAAGGTGAGGACGGCAGGGCGGCGCATCATGACATACACACCACCGCTGACCATCGAGCTAGGTCGGATCCGTATATGTAGAGAGCTTGGCCATTCGTTGAGAAGTATAGGAGACAAATGAGGAGGCGCCATTGGCCGAAAACGGGCTGGGCGTGTTCCAGGGCGTCTTCAGCAATTTGGTTGTGACCAACCAGAAGCCGGAAATAATACCCTGGCGGTGGCAGCGAGAAACAAACCTGATAACTGCATCGCAGTGACTCTCGGTGACTGAAAATATGGAACACTTGATGTTTCAATCACGCTCATCCAAAATGATGGTGGAAGAGTGTGACTTACGGAACGATCGACATAATCCTTGCGCCGAGAACCGGGAATCTGCCGTCCGAGCGGTCAAACTCTGGCCGAGCAAAACAGAGTTAAGCGGCGCATTCGTTTCTTACATCTTTCTGCATGATCATGATTAAAACAACACATGCACCCTATTTTCAACCACAAAGAGTTACTACACTTCACTGTTACGCGCTTATTAGAATTATATACGAACATATACCTTTGATCAGAACTGTTCCTCGCTACCACTGCTAGGGGATTAATTTCGGTTCCTGGCTGGTTAAGAGAGCATGCCAAGCCCTCTTTCAGAGTCTGGCGCACGCCCTGGCTCTGCCCGCACCTCCCATTGACCATACTCTCTCTATACACGGCTCTGAGCTAGGTGGTCTCACTTTGCAACCAATAGAAGGGAGTGAGATCAAAAGTGGATGCTCCACCCTATGTGCTCGGCCGCACCTAAGCCCTCTGCCGGTAGAATTGACCGACATATTATCGCTTGAAGTTTTATACTGTGTAGTCGGGCGATCATAACTGAGTTATAATAATTGAGGTACAGTTGGGGTCATAGAAATACAAACAACGTAGCGGCGACTGAGTAAGACCTAGGGTACCACATAGCGGCAGATGTGGGCAGCGTTTAAAGAAAAAGGCCCGCTGATCTTTTTTTTTTATTAATCGCGAGAAATTATCAATTTGGTTCACCCTTTATGTCCTGCTCTTGAGTGGTTGGTTTTGAGAATGGTGTCATTCCTTCATAAGCGTTTGTGACATTGCGTTGCGGCGACTTTTCGTGTAACCGCAGGAGCTGCATATTTTATTGACAGATTTTTCTAGTGATATGATTGAAGCCGTTCCAATTTTATTTAGAAGTGGCGTTGTTCCCCAATATTCCACTAGCACTGTGGCTTGTGGGCTGTCAGTGCACGCATTATGTTGCAATAAAGGGCAACCTTCGTTGACTGAAACGGAAAAGACCCAGTGAGATTACTTTGCACTGCAGATGGCAGTGCTAAATATTGCATGCTCCCATTTCCACCCGACCACTGGCAGTCTTTTAATTATAAAGAGCACCACCCAAGTGGCAAATGCCGCGCCATGTGTAGCCAAGAGTCAAGATAATGCTACGGCGGGAAACACTGATAATAATCTCGTCGGAGAAGTGACTACCATTGCGTGAGGAAAAGAAAACGAATGCTGTTTCACAGGTCATAAACATCAGGGATTCATTCTAAGTGGTATTTGCGCAAAGTACAAAAATTGTTGCTCTGCCCTTTAAAACTACTTCACATGTTTCTGTTTGAGCGTTCTTGAGCGTGTTGCGTTTTCTCGTAACTGCCTACGACGAGGGATCAAACTGGCGCCATCCACCTTGTAGCACTTCCAACCCGCACATGACTAAACTAAAGGTATTCTGGTATTTGCGAGCTCAAATCTGTGTACTGTCTATGAGAAGTAGTCTCTTGTAACTCTGTAAGAATTACCTTGAGCCCGCAGTGAAGGAATGTTGTGCAAAAAATGATGACATTTACACGCAGGTTTGACGTGCTCCAGGGCTAGGTGATAGACAGCGCCAGCGTGTGCAATCATCGTAAGCGATTACGAGGAAACGCAAATGGGTGAACTATCCTCTAGAGTGTCAAGGGACCGTACGCACTCGCCCCCACCACCACCATTGGTGAACATTGCACCCACGTGCCCCACAGGTTGGCGCAGCCGGAGGCCAGGCCATGGCCCCTCCACCGCCGCCACCCCCCATGGGGGCCCTGGGGCCCCCTAAGACTGCCGCGGTGCCGGACCGGTCCGTGCTCCTCTCCCAGATCCGGGGTGGTGCCACGCTCAGGAAGGCGGTCACCAACGACCGGAGTGCGCCCATCATCGACGGTGGGTTGGCCACAAGTCTGGCTACCGGGTGGCGCAAACCGCGGCCCAATTGACCCTTTTCTAAAAGTCCGTCGAGCAACATTGGCGGTTGCTATTTCTGGGGCACGAAGTGTGCAATTGGATCCTCGTCCTCGCCGAACTCTGGCGCAGTATCCGTCTTCGACACGAGCTAAGCAGAGTTTGCGGGTCCAATTCATGCTCGAGAGTATGTGCCCAAACAAAGGCAGGGTCGGATAATTGGTGCAACAAAATGGCGCACTCTTTTGAAAAGGGTCTATTTAGAAGGTTGGGCGGGACGCATTAGTTGGGGTGTCGGCCAACCCTGGAAAACCTGGAAAGTTTAGAATTGTCAGGGAATTTCAAAGCATCTAAAAAAAGTCGAGGAAATTCTTGAAACGTTGGCTAAGTGGAGAAAACGACCGATGAAAGCGGGACGGAATGCCCGGGGATGGCGCGAGTAAGTAAAAATATGTTTGTTGGTAAAAGGGGGAAAAAAATATCTCGTTTCCATTATAGTGAGGATATCCTTTGCACTAAGTAAGAGTAGCCTGAGGCATCACTAGCAGTGTATGCCACCGTCCGATTCACCAGTCGAAGAGCCGCCATTGCCCCACCCTCCGCATTTTCTTATTGGTCGGGGAATTTTAATTGAGCACTTTGGTAGACACATTCAATCCTGTGCGGTTCTGGATCTGGATCTAGCGCAGAATGATGGTGCCTCGCAAGTTGACAAATCCGTCGTGCTGGCGCCACCGCACGCTTAGCTGGGCAAGCCGAGCGGGGGCTGGGGGCTGAACTGTCCTTTCTATTTAAAGGAGCTGTGCAACGATTTTAATGAAAGAATTGGCATTTTCTGCTTTTGATATTGTTCACTGTGTCACAAATGTCAGAAAACACACCTCCTTTCATCGAAATGTTGCGATTCCACCGCGTAATAGCGAGGCAAAACTTAGAATATTTCCCGACCTGCAGCCACGAGTGGCAGCCATGAGAAACAAGCGGCGTGATGTCACTTGGGTACTTGTAAAAAGATAGCAAGTTGTGCGAATACCTGTTCGATAAAAGGTAACTTTTTTATAAATCTTGTCGTTCCAACATATATATAAATGCGTCAAAACCCTGGTATCGTCTACAAAACTTTTATTATACGGAGTTTTAGTGGCGCCATCTATCCTAGGTCCACAAAAACGCGAACAGCCGCCAGAAGCCGGAGGGGGAGGGGGACAGCGCCGGACAAGCAAGGACGGGTGGTCACGCGGTTGCGAGCGGATGAGTTCTTGCTGCTCGCTGATGGCTCTAAAGAGAGAACTTTTCCGGAACTCCGCGCCTACTCAAGTGACGTCACTGTGCACGTGACCCGGAAGACGATGCACGAGTTGAGAGGCGGCAAAAACCTGAATATTTTTCATTTTTTTTAAAATAAAAACTAGGGTATTCAGGCAAAATCTGTTTTCTGTAGTTGACTGCAGAAGTCTCAGGTATCAACTTCCACAATTATTTAAGCAAAGCCCTGAAATTGTTGCACAGCTGCTTTAAGGTTCCCGGCAGGTGTTTTGATCTTAGTGGAAACCCCTTGTTTCTGTATCGCTAGTTCCTGTAACCAATCTCCACCAGACAGTCTGGAGAAGTTTGCCGAAGTCTGAAAAAGAGATTGGGAATTCTAAAAAAAAAAGGCCATTTTGCTAGACTAGAGCTGAGACGTGACTACTCGTCTTCGTTTGTTTCTAGCTTTCAACGCGACAATCTAGGGGCTCAAACCACCTTCACCTCGTCCAGTTTTTGATAGATGTTACCTTGTTTTTTTTTTATTTCTCACACGCTCCCTCAAGACATGATTTGTCGCGGTCCTCGATGCCTTTCTCGCACACTAAGCTACATAGTTGTGTGTCGAAGCCTAGGCTTCAGTTAGCCAGAAGCACGTCCTTAGATAACCTGGTCTCAAATCTTTCTGTGTACGGGAAAGCCTTTCTCAAGGACAAGTTGAAGCACCGGAGGCAAGCTGCCGACTTTAGGAGCCGGCCATTCGGATCACTCCCAGGTGCTAACGGATGGATGTGGGTTCGGAGGAGCCACCTTAGAGAAAGTCGCTGGGTGCGTCTACCTCGTGGAAAGGGGTATTGATTGTTGACTCGCACATTTGTGTGAGTTACGCAGTGGTCGTGTCCGTGAGCTGGGTTTGGCCAACACCACCTAGACAGAAGGCCTCCGCATAATTTCCTCTTCTTCTATGAAACGTCATCACAGTCGGATCGCGCTCGGTCGGCTATTGGACCCGAGCCCGACCTTTGACTTGCTGATTGGCCACGAGCCGCAGCCGAACACTGACGCAGCACTCGTGCCCAATCTCTCGCCTCGATCGATCTGACTATGATGACGCGTGTGGAGGCCTTCTGTCTAGGTGGTGTTGGTTTGGCTGACATGTTTGGGCAGTGCGGATGCATTGCAGTGAAAAGGTGGAGAGTTTTCGAAGGAAAGGAGGTGCCAATGAGTCCGCTGTATCTTAAAATTTTCCTTCTTTTTATTTTGGCGCACTAAAACTTTTCAATTAGTAAAATACCCATTTATCCCAGCAGAAAATTATTTCATGACTCCTTTAAAGAAGAAGGATAAAGTATGTTCTAGATGTTATTTTTTTTTTTTTTTTACTTTGTTTTTTACTTCCAATTGCATTAGTGCCACTGGTGGTCAGAAAATTTACTAGAGCAGAAACTTCGGAAGCATCTATACCAGTGAGTAGTATACCTACAGACTGCTGGTACATCTGGATGGGTGCACGAACATGGGTGGCATGTTCTTGTCGTGGGAACTGGCCACGTGTTATGACACCGAACGTGGGGCCCGATTCTATGCAGCTAACAAGAGGGCGGCGGCACCCACCCAGGCGCCGGCAGATGGGGCAGCCCCCAAGCTCAACGTGCCTGCAGGCCTGGCGGGTCTCTTCGCGGGAGGCATGCCCAAGCTGAGGCCGCTCAACCCGACCGCCACTGGTGAGTGCTACCGCTACCACCTTCCCGACAAGTGCCAGGTTTCGCCAAAATCCATGCCAATGGAAGATTGCCCGTCGCTCGTGCGTGCACGGAAGTGGCTTTTTCTGGCTTATTTGTAGAGTTTCGGACATTGTGGTGGAGAAGCTGCGTGGTTCTTAAAATTTATCTTTGCAAAAGGGTATTGCGTGCAGTTATAGATAGTATGTGATTACTGGAGTGTCTAACATTTCGGTCTCATGTAGACATTGTCAGGTACTCTTTTTAGGCCTGCAGAATGAAAGGGTGCAGCACATTACTTTTAATGCAAAAGCATTAACTGTCCCAGGGAGCGAGCCGACGTCATCAGCCGTGCCAATTGGCAGATGAATTCCCCTCTCCCAATGGAGCAAAGTGAAGTTGCGATGTGAGGCATCCCAACTTTAAAGCCGCACAAAAGGCCGAGCTAAACAGAAAATAAATTCGCCTCTCCAAGTGAAGCTGAAATCCCATTGGCAGGCGTGCGCATAGTTAAAGGAATGAGGCTCCCATTGGGTTGAAGTGCGTCAGTTTCAGGGAGAGCCACCCCATGGTGCTACGTGCCCGCACCAGATAAAGCCGTGCCAGGGCATGCCGGGAAAAGGAAGCATTTAGCTGGCGGGCCTTCCCTGAGAACGCGGGCGCAAGATTGACATACATGCTTTTGCTTTCACAACTCATAAGAAGTGCTTAGGTGTACCTCGAACCTTTTTTCAACAACTTTGCTACTTACGTTTTCGAATAAGTAATCTATTGGTTTATGAGAGAGTAATGAGTTAGGGTATTTTGTACTGATGGGCCAAACTTTTGCTGAACCTTGGGATTCGGCAAAGCCGAAGTTTTGCCAAACTTTTCTAAAGCTTTGGCAGAATACATTGTTGCCAAACGTAACAGTTGATATTTCTCTTTTTTTTTCGGGCAAAAAGAAATCTTTAGGCTTTTGTTTTTTTTAACGCATCTTGACACAGTTATTACTAAATAAGCTGATATTCTACGAGGTCATTGCATCGGTGTTATTTTCGCATATTTACTGGCAATTTTACACTGACTTTTCGCAGAAGTTGTGCGACAACAAAGTGGGGTAGTAGCAGCCGCATTCATGATACGAGAGTTCGGTTTTGAGGCCTCATGAGTGCAAACCTGCAAGTGTGTACTTTGTTAAAATAAATGTGATAACACCGTGTTCTTACTTCCTCTGCAAGTGTCAGCGTTTCATGCGCAAAAAAAGGTTATGCAATGGCTGCTGATCCTTCACCAGAAGAGATAACAATATTATTAAAGATATGCATGTTTTTCGATTTGAGTCACTTGTTGTGAGCTTTGCATTAAAGTGAGTGTCTCATATTTGCAATGTCTCGTTTTTAACTTTTAAAATGACGGTTTTAGATGTTAGGACACACTCGGACGTTTGGGGAGATGGGAAGAGTTAGGAATGGTCCGATGTGCAACGTCGAGCATGATGGCTCTGTGTTTAGTTTTATGTGGATAGATGAAAACTGTGAAATAACACAAATTAAAAAGTAGTATTAATTTCTTTTGGCAGAAACTACTTGTTAGTTGAAAACGGGATTGCTACACTTGCAAGGAGTGCTTTAAAGTACTTGTCGGTCAGTATTTCAACTACCTCGTTGCATCACTGGAAATATAAAATAAAAATTATGTTATCCAGAATTTACCAGATCATTCGTCACTTGCGCAGTGGACATTGTCAATTCCTGGTCTATCTTCTGTTCTTGAGGCAGAAAATAATGAAGAAAGACACGCTCACAAAGGCTGACAAACACATTTACCCTATCACTTACTGTGCACTAACCGCTGGTAGTAGTACTACACTGTACGATGGTAACTGCACAACTGCATGGTATTTATTTGCAATCCATTGCCCTTTCGCATTCTCGCCCATGTGCAGACTGTTGTCGAATTTTTTCCGAATCTTTGCCGAACTTCCCTTTAAAGTTCAACACGTGTCAAACTTTGCTGAATCTGAAGTTCGGAAGATTCGGTCTATGATAAGTTATTTGGTTACCCTTGGTAAAGGGTATGTACAATGCTGAGCTAGTGTTCCTCCAGACTTACTCTATCTTTATGTTGTGATTCTGAAGCATCAAATGGACAGATGAGTAAAGGCGTGCACGAAGTCATTGTGTGATATCGCCTACTACCAGTTGAATGTGCACTTAGTGTAAGAACGAATTGCACATCCACTCCGTTGCACTGTTCGTAGTAATTGCCTTTTGTAGGCTCGAAACAGAGGAAAGTCAATGCGGTTTGTTCCGCATACCCTTCGGTCATATCTTTTGTGTACCGCTTCGGCCCTTTATCCGTAATTTTGGACATCCATTCCGGCTCCCCGAGAGGTGGCTATAGTGTAGGATGTCATTCGTAAGATAAAGCTGCAAATTCCTTTCCACAATTTGTTACATACTTTGCTACCATTTGAGTAACCAACGGGTAACAGTCCTTAGTTTGACAACGCGGGGGGCATTCCCAGACTGTGTTAACGCCGACGGTGCACCCTAACGAGTTTCAGTGTCTCATGCTTGACGGTCTGGCATGTTCTGGGTCTCTGCTTTGGCCTTGCTGAACAAAAATACTCTTCCAGAATTCTTGAGGTATCATATTCCATTTTACCTTGCACCTTTGCTTGGTGAGCAGTCTTTAAAGGGGCCATGTAACAATGTTTGGACTTGGATTGAATAATTGTGGTAGTTGTTCCCTGTCAAGTACGGATTAAAGAACTAAAAACAAATTTTGCTGACGTGCATTAGTTCTTTTTTTAAAAAAATGTCAAGCTATTGATGTTTTAGCCGCCTCCGAACCGCTCGTCTCTTACACAGTCTTTCGAGTCACGTGTGCAGTGACGCGCGATCGGGACCCGGAGAATCCGGTTGGGTTCTTTTCGGAGACTCTAGTGCACACTGCTTCTGCTTGCGATTTACATGGTGACCTTGAAGGTTGGTCTGCGTGATGTGGAGAGGGGGGCGAAGAGCTTGCCTTTCCGAAAGGTAGTTTGACTGACATAGTAGCAACGGTGTGGCGCTCAAGGGAGGAATAATTTTTTTCACCTCTGGCAGTTGGCGCCACTAAAACCGATTAACTGATTATAGTACTGTTTTGTCGGTGATATGAGGTTTTTGATGCATTTACTCACATTGAACCGACAATATTTATAAAATATGGCATTAGATTGAGCACATGATGGCACATCTTGCCAGCTTATTACATTGTACCTCACCATCCCTTTAGGTAAGATAAACAATGTAAAAATTAAAAATTGAAAATCTTTTCGAAGTTAAAATTGTTGCATAGCCCCTTTAATTCTATTCGAGCCCGTCGTCAGACACCTTGAAAAAGCAGGTTTTGCTTGTGCGCAAGTTTTAGCTTCTCTACTGTACACTTTCTATTGAATGAATTTTTTGTAGCTAATTAGACCTTCTAAATCACTTTATCTCCCACCAGGTCAGTTTGTTTTTACATTATACACTACATTCTACCTCTGTGCTGTGCCCAAATAGTTAAATCTGGCACAAAATTGCCACGTCGCTGTTGCGTTAGGAAGCCCATAATCCAGGTGTTCTCAAGTTTCCTTGATCTCGAGGATCCCCTATTGCTCTTTGTCTATGACCGTAGAACCCCTCCTGAATTTGGCATTGATGTAATAAAGCAGGGTGCAAGCTTACAGAGCTTGGTAAACAACAGTGCACATACTGGGGACCTAATACCTCGCGCATAGTTATGCACTAGTGGACAGCCTAGGATCCGTTAAAATTGTGCTCAAACTGGGAAGACACATTGCTTCATGGAAGGGGGGACAGTCGTAGAAATTCAGGAGCTGGGAAGGGGGGAACCAAGAATCGTACTATGGGGAACCCCTGGGTTCCCAGGAAGCCCTGAGGTTCCCCAACGTTCTCTCCACGTTTCCCCGAGCTCCCAAATTTCCTCGACAGTCTCTGTCCCAAAGTAAAGTGTTTCTTGCAGCAGATCTGAGCCATCCACTGATGCATAGCTTTGTTGAGCCACACACTCCCTGTAGCCACTGACAAGGCTAGAGCTGCAGGGAGGGGCTTCAGTTCTCCCGCCTCCAGTGGGAGCTTCCTACCTTTGACAACGCTCTGACGTCTTGTGCGCACTCAAACCACGACGAAAAGTGCGTGCCGAGGGCCAAGCACTAAAAACACACACCCTATAGTTCTCATTTTTGTGTGTGATTATAGTATGCACGTTATTGTTTACAAGGTCCGTATTCTTTTGCACCACTTTATTTCGTCAATGCCTAACAGGGGTTTTTCTTCTTTCTGTCGAGGCAGAGGGAGGTTCCTCGAGATCAAAAAGTTTGAGAACCCGCGCCTCAATTGAACGACCCGTGTCTCGCGCAGGAGCGTCACCGGCCCCGCCTTCGACCCCTCGCTCCGGCGCCCCATCGGGTCCCCGGCCGGGGGGTGCACCCCTGCAGCAGCCAGCGGCACCGAGCGGGGACACGCCCCCGGGCCGGCGGGCCCCGGCCCCGTTCCCAGCGGACCTGGCCCCCCGGGGACCCCCTCCCCTGCCGCCGCCGTCGAGCCAGAAGCCCAGCTTGGGCCCCCCCCAGGGTGGCCCCTCCCCCGTGTCCCGCAGCCGGACGGGCCCTCCGCTCCCGAGCAAGCCCCCGGGGGTGACAAGGTCCGCCTCGCAGACGAGCCTCGGGGCCAAGAGGGGCCCCGCACCCCTGCGCGCTCCCCAGGTAAAGGGATGCGCTCTCCCATTCTGGGTGCAGTGCCTGAAACGTGTCTCCAACTGGCGCGTTTTACATCTCGTACCACCTGTGTGTCGGAAGTGGTCCCGATGTGACGATAGATGATGTCACGGCAGCCGACGTGTCGTGTGGTCGGACGTCGCAATCCTAGCAGTTTGTCTTCCAAGTTCTGGCGAAAACGACAAGTTGTGCCGCCGTCGTCGCGGTGTCTCAACTTGTTGCTGCGGAATCTTCCGTCGATTGTCAAACTGCGAGCAATCAACTGCAAGCCTCCTCTGCTCTGCCGCCACCAGATTCGTGGCGGGCAAGAGCGTGACACTTTTACGACGTCGTCGAGCAGAAATTGAGGAACCTCAGATGAAGATGTAATAAACACTCCAGTCTTTTCTGGCATATAAGTCGCTGTTCTTAACGTGGAACATTCTTTGGCTAGGTGTTCAGCATTTTATGAAGCCGAAAAGTGAAGCCTGGATAAAAGCGTGGCCACGAGGCTCGGCACTGATTGGTTGACGGGTGGGAGACGAGGGGCGAGGTGCTCGATGCCGGTTGGTTAAGGGTGAGGTCATGTGACCAGGGTTGGAGTGAGGAGGAGGCTTATGTGAGAAGGAGTGGGTTAGAAAGTTCTTGTAGATCATTAGGGTTATCCTTTCAAGTGTGCACATGCCACACATTAAATTATCTGGTAAAGAGCGCCGTAAAAGTAGGCATCGGGCTGAACGGGATAGACGTGCTGCTGAACGATGACGTAAACGTTTGTAATGCTAGTATGTTTCACAAATGCAACACAATTACATAGCAAATTGCCATACATTATTTTTTCAAAATTTTCATCTGTGCAACTTATACAATGGTGTGACTCAATGCATTCTTTTTCTGTGAGTATCGACCTTAATGCGCAAGCTTGCCACAGGGGTTATATTTCTCGTTCAATTCATTGATGAAAATATTGATACTTACTCTCACTTGCACATGTATTGCAATCGTAGTACATATGAGTGGGCCTTTTCAATGCAGTTTCGCCGCACCAACTGTACAAACGTATATGCGCTACCTACACACCGGGGCAACTTACATGCCAACCCTTTTCTGCAAACAGCCATTTATGGCGGGTGCGACTTACAAACCAGAAAATATGATAACTGTCTGTACACATACTAACGGGGAATGCGGTGGCGGCCTTTCGTCAGCACGGTGGAACGCGGCTTACCGGAAGTCAAAGGGCGTCTTGCAAAACTGCCCCACCGGAGGGGTCGTTCCGACACCCAACCACCCCCCGTGCACGCAGGTGAAGCCCCCACCTCCCCCCAAGAGCCCCACGGTGGGCGCGGTGGCGGCCAGCGGCCCCAGGTTTGGCACTGTGGGGCCGCACGCGGGGGCACGCCTGCAACTCCCCGGGGCACCACTGGCCCGGCGCCAGAGCTTCGGGGCCCCCGACTCCCGACCGGCCGAAGGAGCGGGCCAGCAGGGGGCGGGGCCCCAGCCCGGGGGGCCCGCCAAGCCCTCGGGCCCGCCCCCCGCCGCCCCGCAACGTCAGCGTGCCCAGCAACCTGCACCAGGCGCACAAGGTGAGGGGAGGGGCACCTCGGTCCCTGGCTCTGTTACGCATGTCCGGGCCACGGTCGCTGTGAGCTTAAGTAGTGCGGGGCGCGGCTTATTGTGTTTGCGCCTTCTTTGCCTCGCGATTCATTCCTTCGCGCTCTTATCGGCCGATGTTGTGCTCGGAGTGGCTTGTTTGAGCGACAATAACGAGCTGGGAACTCGCTGCGTCCTGCGTTTTTTAAAGGGAAACTGGAGGGGTTCTGTATTTGAGGCAGACATGTACAAATTACTCAAAAAAGGTAGTTAAGTTACTGAGTATCAACGCCAAACGTAATTGGAGTAGAGTAGAAATTACGCATTTTTAATAGTAATTGAGTAAACTACTAACTACTGTAAAGAGTAGCGAGTTACTTCGAAGTTACTTTCGAAGTTACTTTTTTATATTTTTGTGGTAGCAAAATGAACAGCAGTTTGGATCAATGAAAAATCCTGCGAGCCTAAGATAAATGCAGTCTATTTATGGCTTGCGTTTTTACCAAAATACTTTATTCGCTCGCAGAAGCAGTTGAGTTTCAAAGTTCTTGATAGCAGAGTTTTCCCCTTTTCCTCCTAAAGACGTCTTCACCCAAACTAAAAAAACGTTCCACCGACGCGCTGAATGGATCGGCACCGTTGAGTTTGAGAAACAGGCTGTGCAGGCTCGGGTAAGCGAGTGTCGGCATCTTAGGTGTTCATGACAAAACATGTGAGGTTTGCCTCGAGTAGAGGGTCTTTCATAGCAAAATTTCCTCCTTTTTTCTTTTTTCTTTGGCAAGTTGAGATTGTTATGACTGGCCCACTTTATTCCGATGACGTTCTGCGAGTACGCTGAGTGAGTGCACCTGACCGTCAAGGGTTCAAGGCTCGCGCCACGAAGATGAGATCATTCGGACGACTGCGCATCTCGTTGTAGTGCTAGTGCTACGCTACTGAAAAACAAAATGTTTTGGTTTAACAGAAGAGGAACCGAAGTATACTTCCTCGCTGTCGCCAAGTCCAACAAAAGGATCTCCCAAGGGTAACTCGCAATCCTCGCCGGCGACTATAATATTCTGACGCGCCTGACAAGTAAATCGTTTTTAACAAAAGGGAGGTCTCCCAGGCATGGAAAGTCGGAAGGACGCGAAGGATTACGTGAACAAGCACCGTCGCTCGTACAGTTGCGGCTGGAAGCGGCAACGTGCTCCTGTGAACGGATTACCCATTCCAGGGTTTGTGCGTGGGGGAGTCCGGCTTTGCAAAGGCGTATATGCGCTGACGACGAGGCGACCATTGGAACAGGCACCCAGCTGCAAGGTCATTCCAGTGGCATCTTCCGTGGAACCTACCGCTTGAGTCAGAACTCACTAAAGACAGACAACACGAAAACAACAACAGTCCTCGGAGTGTCCCGTCCTTCATGGTTGCAGCTGGAAACGCGGCGCCTGCGTGCAATACCGGATTAGGTCAATACCCAACCAAGGCTTGTTCAGCATCTCTTCCTGCGTTCGTGCGCGTCGGTGTTATGCTTTGGCTGCTCGTCGCGACCTTGGGCCAATGACCTTTTCCCGAACAATGGGGCCCCTTGTTCGGGAACGCCACTTCATCTGTCGTTGTCTTACTCATTTCTGCGCTCAAACTTTCGTGATGAGCAAAATTAGCACTAGATTTTGAAAGTAGTTAGTAATTTGAGTAGAAGTTACCTGAAAAAAGTAGTTAAATAAAACTACTAATTACCCAAATCCAGTTGTAATTGAAAGTTACCAAGTCACTAAAAAAAGTAGTTAAACTACAGTAGTTTGAGTAGAGTAGTTGAACTACGTCCAAGTCTGATTTGAGGTAAAGCACTTAAATCGTTTTCATTTGGCCTCCAGGATCCCGAGTGTTGGGATTAGTTCTCAATTTAGTGTACGAAGGCTGCAGAAAACCATTTTCGAAGTACCGGTGAAGACCCGCCTTCGCGGGGCGTGACGTCCTATTAGGACTTTTCGAAATCTCCGCTCTCGTGCATCTTCTGCAGCTATCAAAGCTATGCATGCGCACTCTTGCTGTTTTCGAAAAGGTCAGAAAACGATGTTGCGACTGGTGTCAGTGCGGAGGAATAACGTGATATTCAGGTTCGCAAGCTAAATCTAGAATTCAACTCAAATTTTTTTAAGAACCTCTTCAGCTTCACACTGAACGAGTGTATGAACAGTTCTGCTTTGTTCTCAATGGCTTGCAAGCCTCTTTTGGGTAGTCGGGTGAACAAATACAAACAGGTGCTTTTGTCTCAACTCCAGCATGGGTTGAAATCATATATTTAATTTTTACCAAAAAAAAAAAAAGATATGTTTTGAGGGCATTCCTGAAATGAAAGAGGGTGCAGACAGCAAGCTTGGCAGACTTTTTGTTTGTAAGGTATTGACAGTTGAAGCAGCCGATGCAAAATTGGGAATTGCACGCTTGATAGCTTGCCATTTTTTCGCTTCTCGGTCTACTGCACTGGGACTCTTCTGTGATGCTATGGAATTAAATTTTATTATGCCTAATGAATTGAAAAATTTCTTATTTTAAAAGAAAAAAAGGAAAACTGTGTTTTTTTTAAAATAATTTTTGGCAGACTGACGAGTTTTCATATGCGACTTAAAGGAGATATTTTCATTGCCTCAATATCACCAGTAAGCTCTTGCTTGGTTCTTTTTATTGAGTACAAATTTCATATTCTATGTACAAATCAGGGAGTCTTGCGACCGGGAAAACCGGTGATTGTCAGGGAAATTTTAGTTACCGGGAAAAATCGGAGAATAGTCAAGGATATTGTCAAAAAGCAAGCCCAGTCAGGGAAAATGAGCCGGAAAGGCCATCTTGTGCCCTGAGCAAAGACTTGAGGGCTTTGGGGCAGGAAAATAGGCAATAAATGCTGCTTAGAGCGGAGTGCGTGCTCTGCTCACCTGATGTAGAGCGTGTCACCCGATGCAAAGGGAACACCCGACAAATCCAGTCCAAGCCTTGGATTGGATTGGAATGAGGGCACAACAGTAGGCTAGATCCAGTTAGAGCTACTAGATTTAGTGACAAATGAGAAAACCGAAGACGCCTAATCAATCCAAGCCTTAAGCCGAAAGTATCCGAAAGTGTGCATCTGTCGGCCATGTTGGCCATGCCACCATGCTGCCATTCGGTTATTGACGTGTGTCGTTGAACGTCGTGTTTTCATAGTGTTTCCAGAAGTGGCCCCTTCACTGACGATATTGGTGGCAAGAAAGTGCTCGTTTAATCTGGACTGGGCGAACCCGAATATTTTGGCATATGCAAGTTGGGTTAAGCCTGTGCAAAATGATCCTGAGGCTCACAGTGCTCAACGCTCAAGGCCTTGTGTTGTAATAGTCTTGTATATTTACCCGTCTCTACATTGGTCAGGGATTTTCACCTGATATTGTCAGGGAAAACCTGGAAAAGTCAGGGAATTTCAAAAGAATAATTTGCTAGACACCCTGACAAAGTAAAATCTGTTACAGTCTAAGCTCATTACAACAGACCTGCTTACAACAGACATTTGGATATTGCCGCGCGCAGGGCTGAGAAAGCAACGCTCGGTCTCGGACCTCCAGAAAGTTCCCGTTTATTCATGTAGCGCACGCACGTAACTTCTATTATTTATATCCATGTATCTTCTGCTTTTGTTTTCTAGAAAGTGCGTGTTCATTCTCGCCCCGATCACGCGACGCTCGAGCCGCTTTCGCCGAATCTTCTAGATAGCGACGTACTCTAGATAAGAGGCCGCCCGCGACCTTGTCGAGTCAGTTTCGCCTCAGCGTTCAACCTTGCTGCTTCGCCGCCTTCGACGCCCGCCACGCTCTGTTGTTATCTTTCTATTTCCTTTTATTTTTGGCACAAGTTCGCCACATTAAACGTTTATTTCTTTCTGTGTATTTATTGTTTTTGTTTTGGTCACCACCCGTGACATTTTGGTGGAGGTGCTGGGTACCGCATGTTCGTGCAGCGCAGCCCCCCAAGTTCCCGCACTGCAAGTCCGAACCCAAGCTCCCGAGGACCCAACGAAGACCAGATCGAGACTCGATCAAGTCGCCGAACCCAAGGGCTACACCCGGAATACGGACCTTTACCACCCAGGACCAGGCAGCCGACGATGGCCAACCAGTCGCAGACCCCCGCCGCTCCTGCCGTCGTCTACCCACCCGTCGCTCCTCGGACACTGGCTCCATTCCACGGCGAGCAGTACGAAGACGTCGAAGACTGGATTGACCAGTATGAACGCGTTGCCCGCCACAATTGCTGGACGGACGAGCAGCGCCTACACAATGTATATTTTTCGCTTGAGGGGACTGCCAAGCACTGGTACGAGAATCATGAGTCCTCCCTGACGTGGGACATTTTCAAGAACGATCTCAAGGCTACCTTCATCAACCACCACCGCCGAGAGAGAGCCGAGGACCTACTGCGAACCAGAACCCAGGGCCCCAACGAGAGTGTCACCGGCTTCGTAGAGGACGTCCTGCGCCTGAGCGCCCGCGCCGACCCTCGGGCTACAGAGGAGAAGCTACGAATCCTCATGCGGGGCGTGAGAGAAAACATCTTTGGTGGCCTTGTCCGCAGCCCTCCGACAACTGTCGAAGACTTTGTCGCCGAGGCAACGAACATCGAGCGTGCCCTGCAAGCCCGAGCCAGCCACTACCAGAGGCTACCCGGCGTCAGCGCGGTTCCGCCGTCCGCTTGCGACCTTGGGTCCAGCATCCCAAGCATTCGCGAGATCATTCGCGACGTCGTCCGGGAGGAGCTGCGAAAGCTACTACCCGCCGCGGACCGACCAGCTTCGCTCTCCATCGCTGAGGTCGTGCGGGAAGAGGTGCAGAGAGCCATTCAACCAGAGGCTCCCATCAGCGCAGCAGTTTCCGAAGAACCCGCGCTAACTTACGCCGCAGTGGCCCGACGGCCACCGCCTCCTCCTCGCGCCTATGTCGCGCCGCCCCGACGCCAGTCTCCTGCGCCGCAGCACGACCGACGC